GTGTGTTGTGGTGCTGTATGCTTGTTTGAGATTTTTTTTGAATGTGTCTTGGGTGGATTGTTTTGAGGTTTCTTTTACACAGTCAAATCTAGGAGTTCATTTTCTTTTAGTTGTCACATGAAAATAGTAATGTAATTTTTTGTTTTTTGTAATTTTCTTGTCTTTCTGATCAGTTTCCAAAACTCAAAGTGGAAGGGTTAAAACTTAACGTCACACAAAAATAGTTTTGTGATTAATTCACAATCGGATTTCAACCCTTGACTTTTTAAATCTAAATTAAAATCATATCTATATGGTTGAACTTTGAAGTTGTTTTCATTACTTATATTTTGCCTACTATAGAAGTTCCATTCTGCTTTGGCCCTACCAGTAGTGAACCTAGTGGTGAAGACTGGTTTTGGTTTTTTTAAGGTTCTATTTGGTATGGTGGTGAGTTTGAGTTTTTGGTTTTGGTTTTCAAAAATTTAGAAATTCTAGAATAAAATTAAGGAGTTCTATAAATTAATTAAATTTGAAGTTTTAGGTATTAGTTGTAAAATTTTATACCCAATAAGTTGCCAATTTTAATTTTTAATTTTTAATTTTGGTTTTCAATTATTAATTTTGCTTGTGTAAATTTTGTAAACCAAAACTAAAATCTAAAACCAAAACGATAATAAATGGAGCCTAAGTCTTTTTGCTGATGGATTATCAGAGTATAAAACTTCAGGAGAAAAAGAATCCTGTTGGTAAAACTTAAATCATATCTAGTCCTCTTCTGTATTCTCCCTTTGAGGTTTGACTTGCTCCTTTATCATGATACAGGTACCATTATAATGTGGCTGATGCAAGGTTGGACCAGCATGTGGATAAAGGAATGACAGATGGTCTGCTAATAAGTTGTGTAGCATCTTGTAGCAATCTTTGGGCTTTAATTATGGATGCTGGAACTGGTTTCACTTCCCAAGTTTATGAACGTTCATCCTCTTTCTTACCCAAAGTAATTTCCTATTATGCAAGCCACACTTTTTGATAACAAGACTATTTTGGTGGTGCACTCATTCTTCTGAATTTGTAGGAGTGGATCATGGAACAATGGGAGAAGAACTATTACATAAGCTCTGTTGCTGGATCAAATGTTGGAAGCTCCCTTGTTGTGATGTCCAAAGGTTTATTTCCTTGTCCTGATTATTTATTTTTCAAACTATTCTATACTCGTATTCATGTCCATAACAAGTAGCTTTCATGTTGACTTTTTGTAACGATTGCATTTACAGTTGCCATCAGTGTTGTTTTAAATGTAGGCTTATGATCTAAGTTTTACTGCCTTTTTCATTCATTTAACTGCAAACCATGTTTGCTCTTGCTCTTGCTTCCATAAGTAGGCAAGAGCCAAAGCAAATCTTGGTGGAACAGAAAAGATGCATCTTGATCCAAACCACTTTTTGTTGATAATGTGTTTTGCAATACTGTCTGCATTCTTTATTTACAGCATGGAGTGGTGCTTAAACAATCACTTAGATATTTACAAACATTTGTCCTCCTTGAGTGTTAATGACATCTTGAGCGTCTATAGGCCATTTGCTATTAAAGTTTTTATTAGATCACATAATTATGATGTAATTAATTTCTATAGGCACCCAGTACACTCAACAATCCTATAAAGTGAGTGATTCTTTCCCCTTTAAATGGATAAACAAGAAGTGGAAGGAAGGATTTCATGTGACATCAATGGCAACTGCTGGAAGCCGATGGGGTGTTGTCATGTCTCGCAACGCTGGCTTTAGTGATCAGGTCAAGCTGAATTCTATGTGGTTTTAAGTTTCTGTATAATTCTCCATAGCTTCTATATATATATTTTTTTGTTCTTTCTTTTACAAGTTGAGTACTTTCTATGCTCCTCTACTGCTCCACTGATCCTGTGAAGGTAGATGGATGACTTCCTTTTTCCTTTTGTTTGAACTTAAAATTTAAATTTTGATGGGCACTGTAGGTGGTTGAACTTGATTTTCTCTACCCTAGCGAGGGCATCCACAGACGTTGGGATAATGGTTACCGAATCACATCAACAGCTGCAACCAGTGACCAGGCTGCTCTTATCCTGAGCATTCCTAGGCGCCGACCTGGTGATGAAACTCAAGAAACTCTACGTACCTCTCAATTTCCAAGCACACATGTGAAGGTAAAAACTCTTGACATTGTGAGACTGTCCTCATCAAACCTATTATACTTTTCTGATTCATGAAGCCTAACACATGTTTATCTTTGACTCTAATGCGTAATAGCAAGTATAAAAAATGAACTCCATCTTCCCCATTCAGAGTTGCTTGTCGATTGATTTTTTCTCTTCTAGTTCATATGCAGTATCTGTTTTTGACATTCTTATTGTGTTGGCCTAGTTTTTCAGTCAGTTATGTTTCAGTTGACAGTTGAGTTGTATCTTATATTATTTAACATCTTATTTTGTTGGGCACATGATTTGTTTTGGTTTCATATGGGTGTTTTGGTTTTTAAATGCAGGAAAAATGGGCAAAAAATCTCTATCTCGCCTGCTTGTGCTACGGGCGAACTGTATCTTGAAATTGCTACAATCGCAGTGATTTTAAATGTGGGGAAAAACCTTGGAAGTTTGTTTTCCAGCACCATCTCTTCACTCTTCCCCCATTTTGTTTATCTAAAACTTCCACTTCCCCTTTAATATTAAATGTAAAAAGTGGTTTTAGAGGGTTTAGCTGCGTTATCCCAGATCCCAGCAGCAGTTTGAAGGGTACTTTATTAATCGTATATGATGTCTGTACACGCTCATATCATATTTAATTGAACTTAGCTTCTTTTTAAATGCAGGATCTCAAATTTAATAGCAACTACAAATGAATGCCAATTTTCTCCTTTTTTTTTTTTCTTAGCACTTAAACCATAGGAAAATGGAGGAAAAAATAAAAAAAGGAAGCGAAAGAAAAGAAATTTAGGGGGTGATGGGCTCCAGCTAAAATTTCCGCGGCAATCCTCGTGAGCCCAACTCGTGGGCCCTTGTTAATATCAAGGCCCAACCCAAGAGGGAAAATTAGGAAAAGGTCCGCAGACGCATGGTTATAAAATATAGTGGAAACCCCAAGAACTCCCTTCCCGCCCAACTTCCATTTGAAAATTTCTTCTCGATAAAATAAAAATCCCTTCGTTTATACTTTCTCTCTCCACCGTTTTCTCTGTTTAAAATCTACCTTGGCCGCCGCTTCGGCTTCTGCTCTGCGAGCCTCCGTCCGACCGAGTACCGAATCTATTTAAGGTTCTGTCTCTCCTCAATATGCCTAGGAAGCGCAAATCTGCTCCGTCCTCGGAAGCTGCTTCCTCCAAGAGGCAAACTCGATCGACTTCCAAGTTAAAGAGAAATGTTTCCCTCAGCGGAGAATTAGCTGAAGTGACTCCGTCTGGTCTCAAAATTGAAGAGATAGTTGACGCAGAGGAGACCTGCAGCAACGAGGTTGAGGCAACGGAAGAAAACGTCGATGGGATGACTGATGGAAAATCTGGTTCGGAAACCCTGCAGTCGGAGTCAAAAGCGAGAGGGAAAAGCGTTGTTACTGATGAGGATGATGATGATGCGCCGGACGCAAGGTTTCTTGGTGAACCGGTTCCTGATAAGGAAGCGAGGAAACGGTGGCCTAAACGCTATGAGGGAAAGGTAAATGCAGCTCATCGTTGATTCTTTTCTTATTGTTTTGATTCCATTTTAAATTGAATTTTAATGGGGATCGACAATTTCATGCAACAGAAGCAAAAGGGAGGAGTAAAATCAAAAGAGTAAGTTTATATTTTTCAATTGATGCCTTTCTTTGTTTATCTCTATTGCTTCTAATCTATCGGATAACATATATTATTTGGTCCAGTGAAGATGACGAGGAGGTTATCCGAGCGCGAAGGCATTACACTCGGGCAGAGGTTGATGCACGGGTTTTATATGATCTCTATGATGATGCTTATGTGAAAGTATGTATACTAAATAAATTTGGATACGTGTTATATATCTTCATTAGCAAAGGGCATAATTTGGGGTGACTTAGAATAAACGAAAAACCCTTCGCTCATTTATTTGACAAGATTATTTTTGAGGAAATGGAATTGATTTTGATTATGATTCATTTATTTTGCTTAGGGTGAAGAAGGGCAGGATTGCTACATATGCAAGATTATTGAAATGTTTGAAGGAATTGATGGGCTGCCTTACTTTACAGCTCAGTGGTATTACAGAGCCAGAGACACCGTAATATAAATTTGGACTTGATTTGATTATAGTTTTATCTCTAGTAATTTTAGGCTAATATTGCTCCCATGTGTTGTTTGGTCTCTCCTTTGCAGGTCATAAAAGACGTGGACGATTTAATTGATAACAAGCGTGTATTCTTTTCAGAGGTCAAGAATGACAATCCTTTGGATTGTCTTGTTGACAGATTAACAATTGCAAGAGTCCCATTAAATGTGTGCTTGTCACGTAATTGTATTTTGATTCAGTTTTTTTTTTTTATATATTTATTCAACTTACTAATACATAAGAGGCTTCTTTTAGGTGGACTTGAAAACAAAAATGGCAAAAATTCCAGTTTGTGATTATTACTGTGACATGCTATATTTGTTGCCATATTCAACATTTGTTAGCCTACCAGGTCAGTGTTTTTTCCTTTAGTTTCCTATTTTTTGTTCTTAGGCATTGGGCATGTGTTGATTATTCTCATATCAAGAGCTTTGTTCTATATGTTAATTTCATTATTTTTTTCTTTTCTGTTCACAGAAAATTGTGAAAATGGTAACGAGACATCATCTACTATTTCTAGTGATATTGATACAAGTAGTGGAAACGATGGAAATTCTGATAACAACAAAGTCTTAGGAAAAGTGACATTGTTGGATTTGTACTCTGGGTGTGGTGGATTGTCAACTGGTCTCTGCCTAGGTGCAAACATTGCTGGGTTGAATCTTAAGACAGTAAGTTAATCATTGCATTTGAGTTGATTAAATGCACAAATGCTTTTACTATAGTTTTGCTTAAAGTTTAGTCATTTATTTTATTTGATAATACCTTTTTGCAGGGTTGGGCTGTTGATTTGAATTCACATGCATGCAAAAGTCTTAAATGGAACCATCCAGAAACACAGGTCAAACCTGCAATGCTATTGCTTCAACTGCATTTTCTTTTTTCTCATTTTATGCAAGCTTATAGGATTGTTAGATGACTGACTTTGTAATACAGGTTAGGAATGAAACTGCAGAAGACTTTTTAGCACTTATGAAGGAGTGGAAAAAACTTTGCACTTATTTCTCTTTGGTGAAAAGTGAAAGTACAGAGGACCAAGTATTCAATTTCAATCCTTTTGTTTCGCAAGATGATGGAGTTGAAGATGATGATGACGAACAGAGTGACAGTGATAATGATCCTGAGGTTTTTGAAGTTGAAAAGATTCTTGATATATGCTATGGTGATCCAAAAGAGAAGGGGGAGCGAGGATTATACTTAAAGGTATAACTTTAAACCCTGATGCTTTTTAATATTTGTTATCAATTATTTCCTTGTTTTATTTCATACAGAATTTAATTTTATTGTTCATATGCATGCGGTATTATTGAACTTGGGTCTGTAACTAGCTAGATTTTGTGTTACTTTTCTGGTTTGGTTTTAGCACAATCTCTGGACATATTCCTCACTTCCTACAGAATATGCTGTAAAATGTTCATGTTTGGCGGATTGTTTTCTCCTTGCAATTGCTTTCTATTGTTCTAGGTGGAACCAGTTTTTCTGTTTGTAGGACTTGTCTGTGAAGTCCTTCAAAACATTTGCTTGTCTGCTTTATCATTAGGGTATGCAGATAGTAGTTAATTTTTTTAGATAAAAATTATGGGATCCTATTTTTCATATTTTCCTCATATGTTCACTTGTCGTTGTTAACTGTTAGGCTGTTCTTTATTTATTGTGAAATTTGCTATGTCTAAATATTTTGTGTTCCTTCACTTATTTTCCTCATTTTTTTTTGCCTTTTAGGTTCGTTGGAAGAATTATGGGCCTGAAGATGATACATGGGAACCCTTTGAAGGTTTGGGGTATGCAATCAGTGCTGCATCGTCTTTGCAATTCACTTAACAAGACATAAACATACGTCTAACATGCTATATGTGGTACAGTAACTGTCAGGACACCATTAAAAGTTTTGTCACAGATGGCTATAAATCGAGGATTATCCCATTCCCAGTAAGCTTCTTTAACTTATGCTATTTAACATACTTTCCTCTGGCGTTTAGTGTAAAGTCTTACATTAGTCTGTTTAATTCTTGCCACTTTATAGGGCGATGTTGATGTGGTTTGTGGAGGCCCTCCATGTCAAGGCGTTAGTGGTTTCAATAGGTTTAGAAACAAAGATAATCCTTTAGATGATAAAAAGAACAAACAACTTCTTGTCTTCATGGAAATTGTAGAGTATTTGAAGCCGAAGTTTGTTCTGATGGAAGATGTTGTTGATATTTTGAGGTTTGCCAATGGCTTTTTGGGAAGGTATGCCTTGGCTCGATTGATTCAAATGAACTATCAAACCCGGCTAGGGATGATGGCAGCTGGTGCGTATGGGCTTCCTCAATTTCGTATGCGAGTTTTCTTCTGGGGTGCTCGACCTACAGAGGTGAGTTTATGAACTTGTTACTCTAAATACCAGGTGCGAATTAGATTTTGTTTACTTGATACTAAGCCTTTTGCAGAAGCTCCCTCAATACCCTCTTCCCACACATGATGTTGTAGTACGAGGTGTCGTTCCCCTTGAGTTTGAGGTATCGGAAGCACAATATCTTTGGTTTTGGACTTTTTGGTATAAGAAAGCATCCATTTTTTATTTCTAAATTTCATGGATGCAGATGAACACTGTTGCATATGACGAAGGAGAAAAACCAGAATTGAAGGAGAAACTTTTATTGAAAGATGCAATTTCTGACTTGCCAGCTGTATGTTTCATTTTCTTGATGGCATTATTGGTTGAATTTACTTGATTTGATTCATTTATCATTTTACATATGGTATTTAACTTTGTTTCATTGCAATTAGGTTGGAAACAATGAAGAGCGAGATGAAATGCCATATGATAAGGAACCCCGGACAGAATTTCAACGGTTTATTAGATCACGAGAAGAGGGTTAGAACTCAGCATATTTTGTCCAAATTTTCATCCTTGTAGAGTCAATGCATTTTAGTAATAAGTGCTACTCTCTCTATTACATATTTTTCTTATTCTCATACAAAGTGATGATCAAGATTGAACAAGGCCATAAACTTTATATCTTTGTTCTTCTTGTAGATATTCTGGGTTCATCGGATGCCCAATCAGCTAAAAGTTTGTTGTTTGATCATCGTCCCCTTGAATTGAATAAAGATGATTATCAACGTGTTTGCCAGATTCCAAAGCAGAAGGTTGTTACTCTTTTAATGCCAAGCTGAATAGGACGTGCATTGTCTATAATCTCAAACTCCTACGATGTTTTTTATTTGAGTTGCTGAATTGCCTTATCTCTGGCATTGTATTTCCTATGGTGCAGGGAGCAAATTTTAGATATCTGCCAGGTGTGCAAGTGCGTCCGGATAACAAAGTTGAATGGGATCCTGATGTCCCGAGGGTTTATTTGAAATCAGGGAAACCTCTGGTAACTTCTGCGTACATTCCTTCTATCTTTTAGTATCTTCATGTTTGGCTTTTGCACATCAATGTTACATTATGAACAATAACAGGTCCCAGATTATGCAATGACATTTATGAACGGGACATCATCCAAGTAAGCGTTTACTAGTGTCTTTGCCATGTATTTGTTTGAAAGTTTCCAGTTTGACTATATAAACCATGTGAACCTGTGTAGACCATTTGCTCGTCTATGGTGGGATGAAACGGTACCAACTGTTGTCACAAGGGCAGAACCCCATAACCAGGTTATGATCCATTCATTTATAATCTATTGTTTTCAAATCACCTCTATACATACAATTGAATGTTTTTCTGGCTAAGAGAAGTGCTTTTCAGGCAATTCTACACCCTGAGCAAGATCGTGTGCTATCAGTTCGCGAAAATGCAAGGCTGCAAGGGTTCCCAGATTATTATAAACTTTTTGGGCCTATAAAAGAAAGGTACCGTGTATACCAAGCAGGATGTTTTGATGAATGCAATGCCTTCTTGCAACTAGATTTATCCATGTTTTACATGGTTTTAGGTACATTCAAGTAGGAAATGCTGTGGCAGTACCTGTTGCTCGTGCTTTGGGTTACTCATTAGGGTGGGCCTACCAAGGTTTGGCAAGAAATGATAACGAACCATTGTTCAAGCTTCCTGCAGGATATCCTAATCTCCCAAAACGAATCTCATCTGAATCATCCCAAGACTAGATGAAATTGTATTATATAATTTAATACATTCTTAGAACGTTTTGTACATGTAGGTCAGTTGGTAGGTGCTAACATGTTTGGTAGATTCAAGACTCATTTCATGCAATTCTGCTCAGGCTAAACTCATGGAATGATGGAAACATAGATGCGCCATAATTTTGTCCCATGATGGAGCGTCCATTTCATATCAATGAAATATGTTCCATAATGTTTATCTTGAATTACGTTGTAAATTCATCATCATGGTAAGCTTTTTTCATGGTTGAACATGTATGTCAAAAAATTGAGCCCCAAAATTGATCTTACCTTGAACAGACCCTAGAATACGAAATTGGGGAACCAGGAAGGCGGACTAGGTTTGAACATCATGAGGATTGAAATGATGACGATTT